TAGAAGACTACTGATACCGTAGTCATCCTAGGCTACTACTACATGATGTTTCAGAACAGAAGTATGGGGGTAAAAATATTAAATAACTCATAAAACACCATAAAATCATAGTACTGTACTTAAGTCTTTCTGGTAATAATAACAATAATAAAAATAGGATAAAGATAAAAATGATGTAAAACACCTCTTATTATTTCTCTTTGTTCTATTATTTCTTTGGTTTCTCTACATCCACAAGTTGTCATGGTTACTAATCACCCAACGACCCAACCACAAAATATTGTAGTGTTGTGACAGCAGACAGAAGCAGACGATTGTCAGTATGTCAGTGTCAGTGCAAGATTGTCAGTCTGTAGGTGCGAGCGTATAGGTTGACCTTGACGATACTGATCGATATTTCTCCGTTTTGCTTCCATCTTATTTTTGTTAAATGAACTGTAATATTTCAATAATTGGGAACCTACTGCACATAAAAATTACCGTAAATAGTTAAATATATCGTTCATATCGAAATATTAGACTGAAAAACACAGTTAATAAAACATTTTCTTGGGATTTGTGAGGTTATATAATATATAGGCATCATGATGATGCGACTCCAGTTAAGCGAGGTTTTACTGTATTTTTGCAAGTTAAAGTTACAAATAGAAAACCCATTATGGTTTGTATTCAATGACCGATGTATTATACAAAATAAATTATAACTTATTTTGATATTAATCAGCAGCATTTATTACAGCTTGCAGCACTTATTGGTATATATAAATATCCCAGTTACTATTAGTAAAAAAAAAATAAAACACAAAATTGTGTGGCCATTCAATTTTTATAAACACAGTGTTAAACATTTGACTCTGCAGAATACCGGATGGTAAAGAGTGTTTGGTTTCAAGAAAATAAAATAAAAAATAGTTTAACCTGCTTTACTATTTATTTTGAAAAATAATAGATAGGAAACCATAAGGATAGGTATGGGATTGAACTGAAATAATTGCAGGAAAACTTAAATCGTAAAGTCCACAATCTGTACATTGTTAGAGAGCGAGAGAGAGAGAGAGAGAGAGAGATTTGATAAGGAATCTGAAAAGTAAACAAATAATCGTTTCTGGCGTTCGTTATATTGTACCCCCCTCCCCCCCCCCCCCGTATTTGCACTCGTGACCACTTTTTGTTGCTTCCTTATCATTCATCCGTCCCAAAATATAATTCCTGTAATAGTTTGTTTGTAAAATTGAAATTATTATAAAAATATTTTATCTTTCGGGTGTAGTTTCATGGTTATTCTTATCAGATAGAATAATATCGTTGTCATATGTAATAGTTACTCCTTCGCGTTACGCAATTGCGTAAAAAACAGTTCCAGTATCTCGGACAAGATTCACGTATATTTCTCGAGATAAAGAAAATCCGTATAGTTCCCGGTCCGTGGAAACACTGTAAATACTAGTATAAAAAATATTGTATAAAGGAGAAGTTGACTAAAATTTCAACTGAAGGTAAAAAAAATCAAAATAACTTAAAATATGAGATGATGAACGGGTAGGATCAAGATTCAACCAATTATAATTAATTAATATTCGACGATCCTTATTAGAGGTGCATCATATTTATTTGGAGTATGAACATGTTTAAACATTAACACGTAGTTAATCACTATCCCAACACAAATAGTAACAAGGAGTAAACGAAGGTTACAGACCGCTGGGTTTTACCGCTACAAAGTAGGGTAGGGTCAGGGTGCCGTACTGGCTACACTACTCCACGATAGAACTCACGATGAGACAGTCTCCGCATTGGTATTGCAGTTGCGCTTATCGACACAGGCAGCAGCACCGGTTTGCTGTTTTCATACGTATAAAGTGCACGGGAAGCCATACCTGACTGGCTTATGGGAGAGCTGACTGGCTTTCGGGCGGGTGACTGCCACACCGAGTAAATTACCAGCGCACTGACTGCCAAACCGGGTGGGCACAAAAGTATATATTTATATATATATATATATATATATATATATATACAATACAATACAATATTCTTTATTGTTAATTCGTCAAGAATTACAATAGTGTCAATACAATAGTGAATTGTACATGTTAATTTTCATAAAATTCCTTTATTGAGTAGAAGGGTCTTGCGATTAGCCACTTCTTCAGCTCCTGGTGTAGCTTGTTGCCAGTCAGGTCTCTCAGGTAGTCAGGTAGATGGTTCCTCAGCTTGCAGCCAGTGTAGGAAGGTTTTTTCTCCCAAAGAGTTGTTCGGTGAACTGGTAGTGCAAATTTGGAGCCATGACGGGTGTTGTAGTGGTGCAGGTCTTGGTTTCTTGGGGGGTTTATTTCATTCACATACTTAATGGTTTCAAGTATGTAGAGAGACACCACTGTGAGGATTCCTAGGTTTACGAATGCTAGTCTGCAAGTCTGTGGTGGTACAAGGTTGGCGAGGGCTCTTATGGCTTTCTTTTGAAGGACAAGAATTCGATTCATATTTTTTGTTGAAGTTCCTCCCCACACTGTCAAGCCATATCTAAGATGCGACTCTACCAGTGCGAAGTAAGCTGTTTTAGCCACAGAGAGTCCGCCTATGTAGTTTATCCTTCTGACGACATATATTCCAGTACTGATTTTTTTGCTTAGGTGGTTGATGTGCTCTTTCCATGTTTGTTTGTTATCAAGGATAACACCGAGAAATTTTGTGTAGTTTTCTATTGTTACATCCTCTAATTGAGGGACTATGCTTTTTTCTTACTGAAATTCAGAGTTGTAGTTTTTGTGGGGTTTATTGCTAAGTCATTGTTCTTTGAGTAGAGGATAGCTTTATTTAAGATCGATTTTGAATTAAGGTAAAGGCTTTGGGCTGTGTTGTCCTTGATCAAAATGGTTGTGTCATCTGCATACATGATTGCAACAGCATTTTCACTCTCAATTTGTTTGGGGAAGTCATTAGTCAATAAGATGAATAGAATCGACCTAATACAGAGCCTTGTGGAACTCCTCTCGTCAGCTTGCTTTTTGAAGATTTGAAACTTTCTGTGACTTCATTTGATGAGTTTTTCAGTTCCACAACTTGTGAACGTCCCGTTAGGTAGCTTTTGAACCATTCTAGCGCAGAGTTTCTTATACCGAGTCTTTCAAGTTTCTTGCATATCAGGTCGTGGCCCAGGCAGTCAAAAGCCTTACTGTAATCAAGGAAGATGGCGGAAATATATTGTTTATTTTTATATCTCTGTATATTTACTTGTTTACACGTAAGAATATGTGTCCGTCAGCACGATAACTCGAGCAAAAATGATCCGATTTTGATGAAATTTGGTACAAACGTGTAAACGTACGTTTATTCGAACGAGTTCGCGATCCAGCATGATCGGACCATTGGAACGGGGGTTTACGGGGGGTTTTATGGGGTAAAAATAGGTTTTTCCCATTTTTGACCCAAAAAACATAAAATTTAGCAATTTCTTTCCAAACCATTTTGTAGAGCTTAAAAAAACAAATAACTTAGTATATTGAAGCGTTATTATGCGCCTAATTGTTACGGAGAAAATTCAAAAAAATTGTAAATTTAAAATTCCTATGTTATTCTTATGGAGAATAAGTAAACTGTTGTAGTTTGCTTGTTTGTGAACATATTTTGATCAAATTTGGAAAATGTTTTTATTTCTTACGAAACTATTCAAATTTAAAAAAAAAACAGTTTTACCCTCCCTGATGCAGCAAACCTAAGTACTTGTTAAACTAATTCTATTTAAATCAAGAATAAATGTTATATTTTTAAGTAGACATTTCAGTGTAAATCCAATCAGTCAAATGGAAATTCGCTTAGTCTGCAGGTTTGCTGCGGCGGGGGTATTTTAGCAGTTTCTGTATCAGTCCTTTAAAATAGTTTTTGTTTAAACTACAAGTGAGAATAGTCCCCTAAATGTTGAGGATGTAACATAGTAACATAGCGCACAAGCGTCTAGGTTTTAAGGATTTCTTTGTGAGGATGACAGGCTTAACTGAATGGGAAAGAGTCCAAACTGGTACTGGATACACAAAACATTACAATATACACAAAATTAGAATATTTCACTGTCACTGACAGCATTTTCAACTAAGGAAGAATAGTTAGTTTGAATATTACTTTTGTCTCGGAACTACCTTGGAAAGTATTGTGTGTTCATTACTTGAAGGGGCAACAGGCTTATTTAGACTCAAGATGTTAGGAGGGAGCGTGGACTTATCAATGTGATCTCTCTGTACACTCTCTGTGATTCAAGACACAATATTTTGTTGTCTTCCTGAAGTACATTCAACTTTTACTTACTTAAAAAGTCAGTATTCTTTAAGTAGTTCATTTGGCCTAGTACATTTTTATTATTTTTTTACTAGGACTTCTATAGGCTATATAAGAAATATTTCAGAATGAGTTATATGATAAGCAGTAACATATTTGAAATTTAAAATAGAAATTTCTATGTTTGTTAGATTAGTTCTAGCAATCAATCTATTAGCCTGTTTTTATTTGTGTTTTTCTATATGGTTTTTCTATGCTAATGGCATTTTCTACATTTATTGGAAGGGATCGTTCCAAGGCCTCGTTTTGTTACTATTTGACATGGAACTTTTTATTAAGATAACATAATTAATTTATTTATAACCCAATGAAAAATGAAATCAAGGTTTAGAATAAGGTCAGAACGGCTTCTACCTACATGCCATTCTGACCTCAATCCAATTAAATTTTGACATAGAACCAGTAACCTTCACATTCATAGGCGTTGGTGTCTGCCACCAAGACCTGTATGGGTTTGGAAAACCCAGTTCATCATGCCAGTTAAATGCAAAGAAAAAGATGCAGTTTTTTCTGTGGTTGCTTTAATTATGGTTAGGCCTATTGTAGGTTTAAAATGTAGTTGTAGGCCTATGATGTTTGTAAAACTCTTAGTAGAAGAAAATCATTAGAAAATTGACCATGTATTTGAAAGAGTGTACAGTGATCATAGTATTTTTTGTGTGTGGAAGGACCCACTGGCTGAGGGCTGGGTGCTGCCCGTTGTCCAAGGGTTCATGCAGATTGAGCAGTGTCACGTGGAGGTGGGGTTTGACCTTGACAAAGACACTGTACTTCCTAAATATGAGGTAAGTTTTTCTTCAATTACCTTTTTATAATTTGGTTGTCATGCCCAAAAAAGTCAAATCCTAAACTACAAGGAAACCGTAACCTTACACAAAATGTAACACAGAACACAGTTGATACAGATTTTTGAGAAATCACTCAAAACCTCCTAAACATGTTGAATACAATATACTGTAATACAAATATAGTATAGGGGCAACTTATAAGGGGAGGGGTGTAGCCAAATCAACTAACAGACAAAACAACAACTGGCAGGTAGAGAGTGGGTCATAGGCGACCGGCCAATGGCAAAACGGCACCTCTGGTGCAATTAGAGGGTAGAAGGGTGGTGAGTGTGTATGGTAGGAGAAGGCAAGACATTGAAGGGGTTATGGTATGCAGTATTGGCAAAACAGCAGAGTGTTTTGATGTCACATTTTTATATTGATCTTGTCATGCCTCTCTTAACATTCATTATTGGTTGATACAAACTTTAATCAAACCTATCCAAAATTATATTTGAATTGCCTAGCATGTTGATTTTATACGGTAGTATCAGAGGCTAAGACTTAAGAAGCACATTCCACTGTAACTAAAAAATAAATATTTAGTAATTAGACTAAGGTTACCTGGTGATAAAGCCAACAACACTTACAGCTCTAGCTTAAGACAAGCCATCATGCTTGATTTACAACATCAAACAAGCTTAACTAACAACCTACAAAGTACTTAATTTCGCCAAACTCAATAGAGGGTTAATACCCTACTTTTATTAATCCTCTATTGAGAATATTTATTTACCATTGAATATTATAGCTATCATATTCAATGGTAAATAAATAGCCTACAACCATTGATGATGCTATTAGAAATTTTATTTTTCAACATTTAAGAGTCAGTAGGACTGCCGGCCATCTTGGATTTTCTGCCATAACAGCAATGTTAATGGTTGAAGCATATTATGGCATTGTTTATTAAGATAAAAATTGCAAAATATCTCATTTTAAAGCTATCAAAACCGCCGATGTGATTTGCTATCTACTTTTTAATTTTAATTGTTATTATTACATATAAAAATCCAAAAAGCAATTCACACAAAAAATAAATTTAAGTAGGGTAACACATAAAATATTCTGCTCGGTAATCAAGCTTACGGTTCATGATTAATATGCTTCAACGTGGACGCATGTTTTTGCTGATCAGCGCTAGGACAACCACTGTTTAGCCTGGCATCTGACAGTCAACAACAATGCAAAATTATTGATTCCTACCGACTCTTAACATTTATTGTAGGGGTCTGCGGTGCACCGAAAAAGTCGGTACGGTACGGTACAAGCTTAATTACCGTCATCGGTTCGGTACAGAATTTTACACGGTACAAATTCGGTTCGGTACAGCCTATTATAATAATAAATTACTTTCAGTTTACTATCGTAGTCAACGGCAGTTGGTTCCGAGCACATAAAAGTCTTATCAGATGTTTGTTTACGATCTTCATAATTTATTACTAGCGTGATGATGCAATAAAAAACCCATTAGCAGTCCCAAATCCATTAACATTTTATCACGACAATAATTGTTGTATTGAAGTACTTCCAAGAACTGTTGAGTTTTATCACTTTTATTTCTTTACGACTTTCCCCAATTCTGTTTTATCATAAAAATAATAGTTTTATGATGACTGTTAAATGTTATCTCTAACTTAATCAGTATTTTCGTGAATATTGAATTTGCCGCTGGCCATTGCCTACTGCCATAAAACTGTTTATGGCTACATATTAAACTTGTAACAAATCTACAATCTTATTTTATAAATTAAATATTTGTTATGGATATTTTATCTTTCTATTGACGACCATGGATATATACAAACTTTTGTCGTAATTTTAATTACAACATCAAAATACAATATTGCACAATTGTGATATTTTAGGCCATTGACCTTTATTATGCATCCGGTATTGCTGTTTCAGAAGAGAAGCACGTTGATAAATTATAAATTGATATTCCCGTAGTTAAAAAGAATTATTTTATAAACCTATAAAACAAAATCATAAAATCTTACATAAAGATAACAATAACGGAAATTGTAAAAAGGGTATAAAGATAACAACGTCATTCTTTCTCTTTGTTCTTCTATTTCTTGGGTTTCCCTTCATCACGCATTCAACAAGTTGCCATGGTTACTAATCACCCATGTCGTTATCAGCTTTTGTGACATAGCGCACAGCAGGGGGTAAAACTTGACGAAAATCAGTAAATTTTTACCTATTATTTAATTACCAATGAATGTACGGTACTACTTTATTGGTATTTGGTATTGTATTAATAATCGGTCCAAATGGCAGATTTTTGTCAAATTTTACACCAAATTTATTGAAATTTCAAGGTGAATATTAATAAAACAATTATTACCAAATATTTGTATTCATTTAAAAGATTGATTTGTGGTATTGGGTTCCCCACTGAGTGCAGCCGAGCTGCACTAATGAGGGTCGGACCTTCTTGGGGGTGAACAATAGACGGCTTATCAGACCCTCCCCTCCCCCGTGGTCTGGAGAAAGCATGTAAAGAAACTATTGCACAAGCGTGCGTGACTTGACATTGAGCTGCTTCAACTATAATTTTGTCAAATGAACTGTGATGTTTCAAAATCAAAAACAATAATTTGGGACCATACTGCTTAACAATAATGGACTGCAATTATTGTTGAACATACAATCCATTTTTAACAAACTAAGATTATACGATTCAAATACAATTATAAAAATTATCTTGGTATTTTACTTGGGGTAATGAAGTTATGTAGGCTAGTGTAATTCTCGGTTCATCAAGGTTCAACTGAATTATGTTTGGCAGTGAATAAGTGTAGAATGCAATTTATAAATTCAGGGATACACACCTTTTACACAGTTATAAAGTCTAATTGCCCAACATCAAATCTTACTCTGTGATAATCCAAATTTTAGTTTCAGAAAAAAACTTTGCAAGAATTGTATCCATCTTATAACTTAAATAGTTTTGAAGCTGATAAAAAAAACGGTCTTTGCCATTACTTCATCATAACCTCCAGTTTTTCATTGTCATCTGCTGTAAAAAGCTGGCAAAACTACACTGTCTTCTACTGAATGCTTTTATATGTTTTTAAAATAAAAAAAAAACAACTAGACATTGTGTTGGTTGGAAATAATTTATCAGTTTTGTGAAATTATCTTGTCAATAAATGTTTCAAACATGTTTATTCATAAAAACTCTCATCCTATTTTTAAACTACTTTATCATGGCTATTCAAAGTATCTCAGAGTAAAATAGGTAAAGCCTTTATCTGAACTGTGATTTTTCTTGACACAATCCTCGTAGTAGTAAAAGGTTTTGTTTTAATAATATGTGGTACAGTAATTGTTGTTAGAAAACCATGAATGTAGGATACTATCCATTTTCATAGTAATGTCTATGTATTAAAGTTAAAAATAATGGTTTGGATACAGTTCTGAGAAGAAAACCGCAAAAATACAGGTAGCCGCGTACCGTACCGATTTTGTACCGAGAACCGAGGTACAAAATATTGTACCGTACCGAACCGTACCGACCTTAGTTTTTCTGTACCGCAGACCCCTAATTTATTGGATAGCATAAAAATTGAATGTTGTCACAAGTTCAATCCACCAGCTATAAAGGCCAGAAACAAAAGCCTTGGGTGTGTTGCATGCATTGCAAGCTTAGTGGTTAGCGTCTCCGACTTCGGTGCGGGAGGGACGGGTGCAATTCCTGGCACATCCACAAAACTTTAATGGGTTTGGACCGCTTTCCCTTAAAAGCATTTTTACCTACTCATGTTGACTTCTAGTAAAAAATGCCACTGCTTACGAAATATTCAAATATAAAACCAGCTATTCTACTATAGCATGATAGTCTTACCTCGATACAGTGTAAGTAGAGATATTCTGATAACAATGGTAGTTTGTTGTAGGTGTTCACATTGTCACTGCTGTCTCGTAGCAGCAGATACAGAGCTGGGAATCGCTACAAGCGCAGAGGTCTGGACAACACTGGCCACTGTGCTATCTGTGTAGAGAATGACCAGATCATTGCATATTCTGATGATGAAGGTTGTTTGTTGTAGGTGTTCACAATGTCACTGCTGTCTCGTAGCAGCAGATACAGAGCTGGGACTCTCTACAAGCGCAGAAGTCTGGACGACACTGACCACTGTGCCAACTACGTAGAGACTGAGCAGATCATTGCATATTCTGATGATGAAGGTTGTTTGTTGTAGGTGTTCACAATGTCACTGCTGTCTCGTAGCAGCAGATACAGAGCTGGGAATTGCTACAAGCGCAGAGGTCTGGACGACACTGGCCACTGTGCTATCTGTGTAGAGAATGAGCAGATCATTGCATATTCTGATGATGAAGGTTGTTTGTTGTAGGTGTTCACAATGTCACTGCTGTCTCGTAGCAGCAGATACAGAGCTGGGAATTGCTACAAGCGCAGAGGTCTGGACGACACTGACCACTGTGCTATCTGTGTAGAGAATGACCAGATCATTGCATATTCTGATGATGAAGGTTGTTTGTTGTAGGTGTTCACAATGTCACTGCTGTCTCGTAGCAGCAGATACAGAGCTGGGACTCTCTACAAGCGCAGAAGTCTGGACGACACTGACCACTGTGCCAACTACGTAGAGACTGAGCAGATCATTGCATATTCTGATGATGAAGGTTGTTTGTTGTAGGTGTTCACATTGTCACTGCTGTCTCGCCGCAGCAGATACAGAGCTGGGACTCGCTACAAGCGCAGAGGTCTGGACGACACTGACCACTGTGCCATCTGTGTAGAGAATGAGCAGATCATTGCATATTCTGATGATGAAGGTTGTTTGTTGTAGGTGTTCACATTGTCACTGCTGTCTCGCCGCAGCAGATACAGAGCTGGGACTCGCTACAAGCGCAGAGGTCTGGACGACACTGGCCACTGTGCCAACTACGTAGAGACTGAGCAGATCATTGCACATCGCCATCACCAAGTAGCCCTCACTCTAGTCAGAGCCTCAGTGCCTGTGTATTGGTCCCAACCTGGCTACAAGTACCGCCCACCACCTCGGCTGGACAAAGGTCATAGCTAATTAACTAGTTTTAAGATGCAATCATAAATTTGTATATGGTATATGATTTCATATTGTATTAGGGCGGATATATTTTTAGAGTCAAGCCAAGCCTAGCCTAAGAGCCCAAGCGATAAAACACTGAGTCAGAATATCAGCCTGAGCTTTTCCTATCACAATGTTATCACAATTCCAGAACAGATCTATAATGATTGGGCGTTAAACAAATTCACTATCGATAACCAATGGTAATATTCCCATGATTGTGGGTTGCACAAATATGCTCTAAACACAGAAGACAAAAATGTTGTCAACATGACAAAGGGAGATGTACATGATGTTCCCACAATTCCGGATCAGGGTAGACAATGCTGATGTCTATACGATAGCAGGAGGTGTTTAGAATTTTGCCGTCATCTAAGAAAACAATGATGAAGTCTCCGCAGCCGTGGGATATGATATTATTGGATCACAGATTATAGTAATGATTACAATGTGATCAATGTACATCACAAAAAGTACTCTAGTAATGAATTTGCATTGTAGTCCAAGCAAGTTAAACATCATAAACCTTATCATAGCTATGTAACCAAAGATTCTTACAAAGTGATAGGAAAGGTAAAAATCTAGCTGACAGTTGTCTACCACTACTTGTGTTTTGTACTCGCCTTCATCTACATACCTACACTATCTCAAACTTGTCAGTACAATTTGTCACACTTGCCCGCCTCTGTCTGTAATCACCTTTATTTGATATGATGAGTGTGTTAGAAAGGAGGGGGGTTGTTTATTATGTCATTGCTCTTAAATTCAAATATATAATAGGCCATGGAAAAAACATAGCTTGTTTGGTTTATACTAGCATAGTTTATTGTATAAACATAGCATAGTTTATTGTATAAACTACAACTGTGATGTTGAGTGATTCACTTTTTTCAGTAGAACTCCAAGTATCCAAATCGCGGGTTTGCTTACAGAATTGCTTACAGAAATAAAAAGAAAACTGAAAATCAAAGTAATAAGAATCGTTTTTAAAGAAGGCTGGAGCTGTGATCGCGGCAAAATTAAAAATCTCTCTTGCGGTTGTGTAGAGAGAACATCACTGTCTCCTGCGGTCACAGAAACATCGTCATTGTTTTTTTGATCGCGTCAAAATCTTGCACTAACCTAAGCGGTCTAGTAGACATCATCATCGTCTACCGTGGTCATGGAAACATAGTTATCGTCTTCAGCATCTCACACCTCCCCCACAAAACCCCTTTTAACCCTTCAACGCGTGACTTTCTAGATGGCAGACCACCCCTCCCGCGGAACTTTTCCAAAGCTTTTACTGGGACCGTTACATGATTACATAAAACCTACAATAATTAACTTATTTATTAATGGATTTTTATAATTCTTCCACCAAATTGAAGAACAGATCATAGGCTTTAAAAATATATAATTAAAATAAAAGTTTGAATGTGATACATTATTTATATACCTCTTAGAAGTTAGTTTATGTTAGTAGGACCGTCATATGTTTACATAAAACCGTCAATAATTAACTTATTTATACATGTATGTTTATAATTCTTTCACCAAAATAAAGAGCAGATTATAGGCTTTAAAAATATATGATTGAAATAAAAGTTTGTATGTTATACAATAGTTACATACCTCTTAGAAGTTAACCTTTGTATGGTAGTCTTCGAAGCATGCTCCAAGACACAGTCCTGCTTCACACTTGGGACACCAATATCTGCTGTCTCTTCTTACTCCCCGTTTTTCACATACACAGCACCTCTTTTGTGCATTAACTTTACTTCCTGTAGGTGGTATCAGGTAAATGAAGTGCCTTTCTGTAAGTCTAGCAGGTCTCGGCTCAATTGAAGGTCTTCCGAAAACAGGTCTTGGTACTTCAGGGCCATGGGTCTCAAAAAGCATCTTTATAAGATCTAATCGAAAGGCTAGGTGGTCAATTTTCTGGGTATTAGATTTCCAGATTATAAAGGAATTCAATACAGAAATATTCAGAAGGCGTTTAAAGATTTTTATGTACCATTTCAGGCCCCTTTTTCTTTCTAGCTGATATGCGTGCAGCATTTGGTCCCTCATATCAACCCCTCCCATTTGCTTGTTATATTCATACACCAATGCTGGCTTCATTTCTTGCCTCCCATTCTTGCTAAGTCTTTGCTCCATTTCATGGGAGTGGAAGGTAGAAATGAGAGTGACGATTCTTTTGTCGCGCCACTTCATCACCATCACATCTCCACTGTGTTTTACTACAATTTCTCCTTTTTCTAATTTTTGACTTTTGATTTCATCTGGAACATTTTTCCTTGATAATTTTAGGGTGCCACATGTGTCTGTCTTTTTTTCTTTTAATAATTTTGAAAGCTCAGGGGAATTATACCAATTATCCATCCACAAAGTAAATCCTTTATCAAGAAGTGGCTCCATAAGGGAGAGAACAATCGCAGTGGACTTGTTTGATTTAGGTGGGATGATAGGATTATCAAAGACCATGCCTTTTCCGGTATATACAATGAAGGACCACGTAAAGCCTGAGGAGGATTCACATATCTCAAATGATTTTATCCCGAATTTGGCTGCTTTTAGGGGCAAATATTGCTTGAAGCCCAAACGGCCCTTCCACAATGTCAGAGACTCGTCGATGGATATATTTTGAGACAGTCTATACGAGGATTGAAACCTAGCGTTCAGATGTTCAATTACAGAAAAAATTTTGAACAAACCCTTTTGGCCCTGATAATCACTGATCTTTGTATCATCACAGAAGTGCAAGTTCTTAGAAATGGCCTCAAAACGTTCACATGGCATTGTACTTGGAAAGATGTCTGAGCGCAAACAGGGGCTTTTGGAATAGTAAGATCTAATAGTAGGCCTCTGGTCCACACCCATCAGCATGATTAGAGCTAAATACAAATACATTTCATCTTTGGTGACAGGACTCCATTTCCAGTTCCTTGAAAACTGTGGGAAAATCATGCCAAGCTTTCTGTGCTGTTGCTCCGCATAGAGATTGGTATTTTCTATTTTGTACTATTATGTCCAAAAGCGTGTCATAAAAAAAAAAAAAAAAGAACAGATCTAGGGGATTTTCAACAGGGATTTTAGGACCAACACCACCAAACCCAACAAAATTTTCTCTGTGAGGAATGTAGTCCTCAATTGTCACCCAAACCATAGAAGGCACATCAGTTGTAGGCCTACGGTTATATCTAAGGGGTACATCTCCCGCACCTAATACAACTTTATCGATTGTCACATCGACAGAATTTTGTTGAGGAATGTGCATTTCAACAGGAATAGTGTGGGTTTCAATTTCCATAGGAGAAATAGGCCTAGGCTCACCATTGTCTTGGCGGAGGTTATGTCTAGGAATAAGGAGAGGAATCTCATCGTCACTCTCTAAATCATTATTTTCTAGGTCTAACGTTTGAAATTGGGCATAGTCTACATCAAATGAATCGTTATCACTTACATCGGATGCATTATCCGTATCCAAAAGCCAGTGATCGATCTCACTACTTCTTGCCATTGTAAAACAAACACTAAAACTCAGCTCCAAAACACAACACTTTAGTACTTTTACATCCCTATTTTACGACAACACTTCATACATACATACATTCAGCGGTTGAAACTAATAAAAAAACTTATACTAATACTCAAATACGATTTTAGAAAATGTTTTACCAGTAAATAATATATTACACACATAAAACGTACGAACAACACACGTATGTAATCAAAACAAACAAGGCAGAAGTCTGGACAATCATCTGCTGAAAACAGCTGATGAATTTCGTCATCCAGAGACAACCGAAAAAACGTAAAAAGGATTTATTTTAGTGGTTTGTGTAGCTCATTTCATCTACAATGTACTGCAGTATTGCACAAGCCCACGTAGTTGAGTACTTACTCACTAGATGCCAGCATCTACTGGGACTTCACTGAGCGTACGCAATACGTCAAAACACGGCGGCGGCGTATCACGTACGGCAATACACATTGAAGGGTTAATCAGTTGAAGCCCGAAGAGTCGCTTAGCATAACCCGGCTCTGTGAGTCACCAATATTGTTGTTTTTGTATGCTATATATTTTTATAAATAAATAAATATGTAAAGTAAAAGTTTTTGTTGATTTCATGTACAATTTTAATGATTTTAACAGGGTTTTAATTTGTACGTGAGTACTCAGTTATTAATGTTGAATTTTACTTTATATATAGTAGCCCTATTATTCTATTCTTTGTTTTTATGTTAATAATATGTAAAAAAAACATTGTTTGTCTAATGTTTCAACACCCGAAAAAAATCTTAGTCTCACAGATCGTGTTTTAAAGTAAAAAAGACACCGACAAAGACTTAATATGAACTATTATATTTTTCTAGATGAAGCTGAAACTAGCATTGCGTTTGAGAGACATTTTGAAGAGGAGTTATCTCGCTATGGACCAATCTGTGTGGTAAACTTAGTGGAACAAACAGGCAAAGAGAGAGTAATATGGGATGCCTTTACCAATCATATTATGCAATACAACCATCAGGATATCACATACGTCACTTTTGACTTCCATGAATATTGGTGAGAATATACATTTTATTTTTTTGTACAATTATTTCATAAGAAAAACATTTATTGTGTGTTTTACTTTGTACTAAACTAGTATATTTCTTGCCTTAAATATAGTATAGTTCAATGATAATAGCTCAAAACAAAAGGCAAATTTCCATTTTATCTGACCTTGTTACCTTGTCTGGTTTAGGTAATTTCATTAAGACTTAAGTTACTATAATGGCGGTGTAAGAAGACAGCTAGGGATGTTTCGATTCTTGATACCGATTCTCGATACCACCGATACTTGGACATTGGTATCAGTACAGTGATTCGATTGTGAAAAGTTGAGTCTGATACCGATACCCGACATATCTGCAAAGATCGCCCGATTGAAAGGAGATGAGCTATCAAACCTGCCTTAAACAACCTCGAGCTTACCTCATTGATATTAAAAACAGTGCTTAGCTTCGAAGAAATAGGGAGAAAATCATTGTAATGAGGTCAAATAGTTGCTTAACTTTTGAGAGGGGAGAATATCATATAATAATGAGACATTTGAAGTGTTATTATTTTTGTTTCATATTAATTTAATCTTGAAATAGAGGTTGATATTGTATTTTAACTAGAGGTGGGCCGATACCGATACTCGATACCAAAATACTCTCGATACCAGCGGTATCGAGGTATCGTCGATACTCGATACTTGCCTGTTTTGGGTTCGATACCGATACTGACACTGAACCACTGAATGCTACGAATCATCAGTCAGAGCGCCGAGCGGGTAAATTGCCGTTGCCGTTACGAATCCTAGCTATTTGCCTACTTAGAAATACACTCTCAACACGAGTCGAGTAGTAGAGGTTAAGCCGATTTCGTTGATATTTGACAAGTAAATAATAAGAAAGGAAAATGTTTGAGTTTTATTTAATCCCTTAACCCCTTTCAATATTGACATACTAGGCCTAATAATAATCGGCAACCTAGACATCGCTTGCGTCATCCATTTCACTGACAGCGACAGCTGACACTGGGTGATAGTGATAGGTAGTGGTGTGCAGCGAGTGCGATGTATTGAAATTTCAATTCGATTCTAAAAAGGGATGTGTCGATTATCGTCATCGATACCACCATCCATTGGTTACCACTTGGACATTGGTATCGGTTCGGTACCAAGACTCGAATGTCAAAAGTCGATTCCGATGACACCGACACCCGACCGGGATAAATATTTTATTTTAACATTTATTAACTTTATAGCTACAGTATTAGTTTTGTAATCACGGTTAACAATTTTCATAGCCAACTTAGAAACTATCTAGTTCAAAACAGCGACGGTGCCGGTGACATTGTTTAGCTTCAGCTCATTGCACAACACAATCTACATTTCAAGATGTCAGACTCAACTCACGAGACAACCGGCGTGCGAATGTCCCGCCAACACGAAATTAATTACCGGTATACTAAACAATGTCTGTATCAATAAGTCATAGTTCCAGAACTATAGCTATCAATAATAAACTATTGATAGCTAAATAAACTATGTATCAATAAGATATTTAGATGTATTATTTTTATTTTTAGTACAAAATAAATACCTAACCTTAACACGTCGAAATTTTCAGTTTCCTCCCTGCATTATACGCATCATTAGAAAAATTATATTCAACGATTAAACTTTAACATCGTCATCGTCGTATGGTTAGGCTTGCTTTATATTGCGCCAAAAAGTAGGTCCATATTTATCTGTACTATCTACCTGATTAAAGAGTTTAGTGAAGTTTTAAGTGCTACTATGACACAATGCATTTATTGAAAAATATCATAAGCCTTAGTCCATGTAGATTATGTAATGTTATAACGAATGGTGAATGTTGACAATAAAAGTATGTAACAACAGTTCTCATTGGCCAGGAGGCGACAATGCACACCATGTCAGCCAATCGACTTTCGGGTTTCAATGGAGCAAATGACGATTGCTTAGACATAGTTTTATGTGCTTACTGCTTATTGTGGGTGGGAAGGGTATCGATAATTTATCGGGATTCGAGATCCGATATGTAGTACGTGTTCGTTTATGCATAATGAGTATTAAAGTATAAAAAAAACTAGGTTAGTTACAGACAGGTTCAAAACATCGATTGTTCCGATCCATTTTTGACACCCCTACACGGAAGTTGTAGTGACGTCGTGCTCGTGCATAAGGGCCAGGCAGGCCGGTTCACAGTGAATCCACTCTGCCGAACCTATACTCTTGGTATCATCGGGAACGTAGTCAAACACTTATGTTACTAAATAAAACTATGGCATCTTTTATAAAAACACTCTTTTGGAGATTCTAGTCCCAAAACATAATCTTTATTGTAGGCTAAAAGTAAAACTTATCTATTGCCATACTTTTCTCCACATACGTCGACTTAATTCTACAATCTCTTTAAAAAATACCAGGTTTCAGTCAACAAAATACTGTTGTAAAAATTTAAAGTGTGCTGTTTTAGCACAGTCATTCCTTGACCACGATCGTTTTACTCACTATATATAGAGAAAAGACTCTCCTTACAAAAAGTATTTATAGGCCAAGATGTATGTAGCTTTTTATAAAAGTATAACTGAAATTGCTTTTAAAAATAAATACAAAAACTGTCAAATGACTTAGATTAATACTTGTAGGCAAGCCTATTTATAAATTAGAGGAAACTTTAATTGATCTCATCATAGTCAAATTCAAACATTTACAGTGTTTAAAATAATTAACACTCAGAAACGCTTGTGTAATGGAAATATGCAAGCGACTGACGCCGAGGGTAAGGGAGGGCATGTGAACCAGGCTTTAGAGCAAACTTTCTCTTTTCCTACCCCATGTCCCGTTAGACGGTGGGCGGGGATTCACACTAAATAAACACTCAGTTCATTCATTTGCAGTAGAGAATAGTTTTTGTGGCAGTGACGTATGTCTCTTGTCTGCTCTTCAGCTCTTCATAGCTCACACGTAGATTTCTTTAAAAAAAAAACTTACAGAGTATTTGTAGGCCAAGATGTAATCTTTTTTAAATTTATAGCTTAATGAGTTAACTAAGACAATTGATGCAATTTCAAATAAATACAAAAACTGACAAATGACAGATAAATACTTAAAAATAAAAAGCCAATTTATAAATTAGAGGAAACTTTATTAAATCTCATGCTTTAGTCAAATTCAAACATTTACAGTAGGCCTATTTTAAAATAAACACTTAGTTCCATATTTTTGCAATTGTTTTTCGCAATTAATAATAAACCTTTAACACCAAAATATAAGTTTGATACACATACATATTGTGTTTTTTATGGTATAACAGTTTATTATATTATCAGTGGAAGAAACTGTGCAAAAAAGATAGGTATCGGAAGTATCGGTATCGATAGGTATCGAGAGTACTTTGGTGGTATCGGTATCGGTATCGACAATTTTTGGTATCGGCCCATCTCTAATTTTAACAAGAAGTTTTATTTAATTAGTAACCTATTAATGCAGTGGTGGTGAACGTCAAACCACCAAGTAACGGGGGGTCCATAATAGAGGTGTGCGGTTATCCGAAAAATCGGGTCGGATTCGGTTCGGTTCGGATATCCGTATCCGAACCGAGCCTAAATTTGATATCCGATACTATCCGTTATATATCCGACTTTTTCGGATAGACAACATATTTTGACGTTTTGGACAGAAAACTAAATCTTCATAACCATCATTAGTTTCCCTGGACAAAATTACAGCAATACGTTTCCAACGACGACGACGTAACAGCAAAGGACAAAGAAGCCGTATGATGCAATACCGATGTCTAGTTTAGTCATTATCAGCTGTTTTGCTTTATGATTAGATTCGTCTGGAACGTTATCAGCTGTTTTGCTTTACGATTAGATTCGTCTGGAACGAACATACATAAAGCAGAAAAGAACTTCCATGGTCAACTCGTGCTTGTCTCCTGATACTAGGGGCGCTATGCGTAATGGTTTTTTTTTTTACAGTACTGTTTTAAATCATAAAAATCTAGCCTACTTATGTGCTGTTACGTAAACAATAGATTTAATGTTTCCCGAAAAAAGTCAGAATAGAAACAATAGAAAGGCAACACAATAGAAGGGTGGGAGGGGTTGGGCAATGACCTCGAAAGGAGCCCGGGTAACGGGTAGCAACAGTGAGTCGAGTAGGCCGTGAGGGGGGAAGGGGTGGGTACGACCTTGAAGCTATATATAGATTTGCACTACTTCCCTAAATCTAAAGGACTGGCGAGTGGTATTCCAATCACAGGACAAGATACGTTGTTTTTCGAGTATTCATTGCCCGGTTTGACTTTGGATTGCCTTATTGTGTAGAAACTTTGAATAATCAAAAATAAAATTAGAACTAACCACGATTATTTAGTATTGATTGTGTATATTAAATGATTAAATGATAGGGACCAGGGGAAATATACAAACTTTTGTCATGATTTGAATTTCAACATCAAAATACAATATTGCACAATCAAGATATTTTAGGTCATTGACCTTTATTATACATCCGGTATTGCTGTTTCAGGAGAAACACGTTGATAAATTATAAATTGATATTCCCGTGGTTAAAAAGAATTATTTTATAAACCTATAAAACAAAATCATAAAATCTTACATAAAGATAATAACAATAACAGCAATTGTAAAAAGGGTATAAAGATAACAACGTCATTATACTTTCTCTTTGTTCTTCTATTTCTTGGGTTTCCCTTCATCACGCATTCAACAAGTTGCCTAGTTGCCCATGTCGTTATCAGCTTTCGTGACATAGCACACAGCAGGGGGTAAAACTTGACAAAAATCGGTTAATTTTTACCTATTATTTAATTACCAATGTACTTGATTGGTAATGTATTAATAAATTGGCCGGTTTTTGTCAAATTTTACACCAAATTTATTGGAATTTCAAGGTGAATATCAATAAAACAATTATTACCAAATATGTTTATTCATTTAAAAGATTGATTTGTGGTATTGGGTTCCCCACTGAGTGCAGCCGAGCGGCACTAATGAGGGTTGGACCTTCTTGGGGGTGAACAATAGCCGGCTTATCAGACCCTCCCCTCCCCCGTGGTCTGGAGAAGGCATGTAAACAAACTATTGCACAAGCGTGCGTGACTTAGACAATAGACAATTTTCTTTATTTGTGATTTCTTTAAGAAATACAATGGCGTCAGACATTGAGCTGCTTCAACTTTAATTTTTTCAAATGAACTGTGATGTTTCAAAATCAAAAACAATAACTTGGGACCATACTGCATAACAATAATGGACTGCAAAAATTGTTGAATTTAAAATCCATTTTTAACAAACTTATAACTTTTTAACTTTTAAAACTTATCTTGGTATTTTACTTGGGGTAATGAAGTTATGTAGGCTAGTGTAATTCTTGGTTCATCAAGGTGTATTAGTGATGTTTTCTAAACTTGGCAAACCCCAAGAATGCCACTTAAGGCCAATAATCTGTTCCAAAAACGTAAGGAAATACAATGTGAAAATAAAATTGAGATAGAAATCCTTGTCTTGTGAGAACCAGGAAACAACATAAAACATAACCTCAAGTAAACAAACCCAAACGTTTTGACATCAGTCCTGCTGAGCTTAAGTGTTGTGTGAAGATTTCGGCTGCTAGTGTACTTAATTCAAGCAACCAACTTTTGAAAATAGATGTTGTGAATTGTGATTTTCAAGAGAGAAAAACTGTGGACGTGGCTAATTTGAAATTGTATGATTCAAAATCGCCATTTATGTTTATTTACACAGCTTTACAGTGTTTTATATGTTAAAAATGCATATGCAGCTTATTATTAACCGCGCCGAACTATCCGAATCCGAAAATATCCGAATCCGAACCTCCCAATATACGATCCGATCCGAACCGAGCCTCAACTATCCGATCCGAATCCGATCCGAAATGAAATTTCACTACCCGCACACCTCTAGTCCATAAATAACGGATAATTTTTAAACAAATGTTACGAGTAGAATTTTTATTGGATCGTTGGACAGTACTACACTTTGCCTTTTGCATTGAAGCCTATTTAAAAAATAACTGTGATTGATAATGATCCTGTGATTGTAACTCAGCGGTTATTTCGAAATCCGACCGTCGTCATGGTGTTGTTCCCTCTAGGAATACTATCTATAGGTGGGTGTTTAATTAAGAACGAAGGGATCTGTTCTCAAGAAACCTCCAGTGAGATCAAAGTCTGTACGTACAGATGAGAACATCGCAAGAGTTCGGGAATCTTTTCTCCAAAGTCCAAAAAGATGGGCAAGAAAACATTCTGTTGCTTTAAGTATTTCTAGGACCAGTTTAAATCCTATTTACATGCCAATTTCAATTTACATCCCACAAAGTACAAACAGGTTGATGCACATAAGCTCAATCAAGGTGACCCTAGATTACGTCTAATGATTTAAGACTCTTTCAGCTGATTGAAGGGGAAACCGTATAACGTCTGACAAAGCTCACTTCTACCTGTGTGGTGGAGTTAACAGTGACACACAGAATTGTCATTACTGTGCAGTTGAAAATCCCAAATAAAACTTCCAAACGCCTTTGCATAGCGAAAAAGTAACTGTCAGGTGTAGTGTAGCACGTTATGGAATAATTGAACCTTATTTTTTTGAAAACCAGAATGGAGCAAAAGTTACCATGATTAAAAAATGCTACACATCAATGATTTAAGACTTTTTAGTTCCCCAACTGCAACAGGGAGGTTTACATATGAACTTGTTGTGGTTCCAACAAGATGAGCTACTCCGAATATGACAGACATGACAATGAATGCCCTGCGCAAACTCTTCTCGGGCCTTCTCATTTCCTGACACGGCGATATCGCTTGGCCTGCACGGTTGCCGGATTTATCTACATGCGATTTTTGGTTGTGGGGATACCTGAAAAGCAAAGTCTATGCCAGAAAACTTCAAACAATTCAAGACCTAAGGAACAGCATCATAGATGTAATATATGAATGTCAATGATTTGTCGAGTATTCAAACATTTTCAAATAGGGTTGAACCCTTGTGTGGTCATCGCTGGAGGTCACTTGAGTCTTGAGTGATGTCATTTTTCATACCGGTAAATGTAATTGGCATTGAATTGTGTGTAAAACTGTAGTCTAGTAATAAAATAAAATTATTTTTCCAAACGGCTACTTTATTTTTTAAATCATCCGTTATATATGGTCCACCTGTTATAAAGGAGGCCTTGGAGACAGAAATCTTAGTTTACAGATAGTTTGTGACTTTTAAGTTGCTCTTTTATTTGATGTTTTATAATCCAACACATTTTTAAGCTTTAAATGCAGAGATTAATTTTGCACCATACACTATAAAAGTTACTTACATAAGTCCTCAAAAAATGTAAAATCAAGTAGATTTTACTAGTTTGTTTATCCTTACTGACATGACCATGTCCCTCACAATTTTGTATAAACAAAATTCTCAAAATGTGTTTTTACCATTTAGTACATCTAGAATGTGTAATTTTTGTACATGGGTAATTTTTGGATGTTCATTGTGAAAGTATTGCATGTGCATATCCATATTGCTCCAAATTTTGTAAAAACTATTGTAAAATTGAAAATTTGAGGATTTAAAAAAAGTTTGACTAATATTGGGTTAAAAGGAACTAACGACTAACGTATAAAAAAACATAGGATGTAAGAGTGTGGAATTGAATTTTTGTGTTTTAGCAAAGGGATGAGGTTTGAGAATGTATCAACCCTTGTCTCCTGTCTGTCAGATGTGATCCATGAGCAAGGCTTTACTTGGAAAGACAAGCAAGGATTGATATGTAGACAGAACGGTGTCTTCAGAGTCAACTGCATTGATTGTTTAGATCGCACCAATGTTGTTCAGGTACAGCTCATTCAGCTCATTTAGTTTAATTAGCAGGGTCAGTAATATCATTAAGTATAAAGGTATAAGAGGGGATAGATAATGCTAATAGTTGTTACCGATTTAGGCGACTTAGTTTGGGCCACTAAGCGCTTGGGTCGCAGTAGTGGGTCGGTAGTACAGTGCGCCTCTGAGGACCTTTTAATCATTTAGTCTTATGAGTGTATTATAAAACAACAAAACTACAACCAAACAAACAAATTTAATCAACAAAATGACATTTTACAACCTACAACCTACAAGATATTTGGTATTACTTCTTTGCGACACTCACAAATTAATTCTACTTTCGGTAAAAAAAAACTACACGAAAAGTCCATTTTTACATATTTTATACAATAACTTGTTTATTTATAGAGATACGACCTCGGACTCAATAACCATTATTGTAGTCCACATTTTTAGAATTACAACGACGTTTTAACTGATGTTCTATCTTTTACCGTTTTCGAAATATCAGCGTTTTAACGCATAGCGCAAACCGCCATGTTTGCCCCTCCCTTCCACCTTATCGACCACTTTTGAAATAGGCGACATACGTAATTTTGATCACCACAGTCCATATTACAATAATCACCAATAACATTGCGTACTACTTTCATGCATGCTCAACCCCCCTCAGCGCTTGGACTATAAGGTCTACAAAATGGTTTGGAGAGAAATTATGAAATTTTGTGTTTTTAGGGTCAAAAATGGGAAAAATCTATTTTTACCCCATAAAACCCCCCATAAACCCCCGTTCCCATAGTCCGATTATGCTGGTTTGCATACCCATTCGAATAAACTTAGGTTTACAGGTTTGTACTAAATTTCATCAAAATGGGATCGTTTTTGCTCGAGTTATCGTCGAGTTGGACATATATATATGAATTTGAACGGATGGTGTTTTTGGCCTTTGGGGACCTCAAAACGAAAAAGTAAATTGGTCCCGGGTCTAGGTCTTACCATGAGACCTACGGTAATAGCTTCCCTATATGGGAAATTCGCTAACAACCAGACTGCCTTACCGACATGCCCGAGGTGGAGTAGTTTGGGACGCTGACGCTACCCTGCAACAGTGCTGTTTAGGTAACGATAACCTCCATTAAGTGTCTACTCTAGTATGTGTATTGTACAGTGATACAGACAGCTTTTTGTCTTAGTAAAAAATCGGGGTTGTACAGGGATACAGACAGCTTTGTGTTAGTTAAAAAATCGGTGTTGTACAGTGATACAGACAGCTTTGTGTTTAGTAAACAAATCGGTGTTGTACAGTGATACAGACAGCTTTATGCTAGTAAAAACATTCGGGGTTGTAGAGTGATACAGACAGCTTTGTGTTAGTAAAAAAATCGGTGTTGTACAGTGATACAGACAGCTTTGTGTTGGTAAAAAAATCGGGGTTGTACAGTGATACAGACAGCTTTGTGTTAGGAAAAAATTGGGAAAAAAATTTGAAAAAATCGGATTCATCAAAACCGGATCCAGCCCAAGATCTGGAATTTTTTGGATCCGATCCGGTGCCGGTTCTAGCTCGGATCCGGCGGATCCGGTAGTCCGATATCCGGATCCGACCATCACTAATGCTATTGCGTTCGCTGATTCACTTGCGTGCCGAGGCTGCGTCGCATTTTCAAACGTACTGCCAAAGGGGTTCTCGCAGCGAACGTGTTGAAATAAATCAAGGTTTATGTTTATACCAATTTTATAAAAATAAGTTCATTTTTGCTCTAGTTATCCTGCTAACTGACACATATTAATTTTAACGGATGGTGATTTTGGCCTCTGGGGACCTCAAAACGAAAAAGTAAATTGGTCCCGGGTCCAGGTCTTATCATGAGACTGTGTCATTAGCTTATTCCCTATATGGGAAATTTGCTAAAAACAAATATTTTTATTTGTAAGTGCATGTCTCTGGTTCATGTCTTCACAGAAACATTTTTGTCAATATTATTCTATCTTGATTTTGGCCACCATCATACTAAACGTAATGTTTTAAAGATTTTTCTCAAATATAATGCTAATTATAACAATAATGCAGTAGTTTTTATAAGGGGTGTGCGAATAGTGATTTTTAGGTTTCGAATTGAATCGAATATTTTTTTACTATTCCGAATATTGAATATTTTCGAGCGAATATTCGTTCAAAGAGTTTTTACGTTCAATTGAGATTGACGAAATGCAGCATATTATGTAAGTATAATAAAATGTAAGCCTACATGTAATGATAAACACCTCACTCAGATTAATAAGGTTTTAATCAACTAATAAAACTGTACTACAACAAGTATCCTAACATTTTGTGTTTTGACTAAATGTAAACAAAGATTAAATTATATGTTTTACAATACAATAGTTTTGAACAAATTAAACAAGGAACAGAAGGAAGGCAAAATATTATGACACTACAAAAACTAATATTTATGTAATGTGGTTAAATAAAATTTTATTTGATATTTTGATTGTGATTAGGCCTACTTATTTATATCTCTGTTTTTCTTTCCTCCACCATTCATAATGTATTATTCATAACCAGGCCTTATGCTATACCAAGGCCTGGTAGCGGGACTTTTTGTTGGTGATTTTTAAATTTTTTGTTAAAATTCTGTAGTCTGAAATATTAAATATAAAAAGATCATAAACAAATAAATTATTACATATCACAAGTTTAGGGTCTGTGGACTGGCATCAAGACTGCAGCAAGAAGAAAATCAAAATAATATGTTTACACCATTATGCAATATTATGTATCATTCATTCCCTGACCCCTAAACCTCTTAAGTATAATAACCTCACACTTACAATAGCATTATTTGTAACATCATCATAAATAAAGAATTATCTATTATTGGCATTAGTTGGCCTACAACTTTACATAGGCATTTTTTTATAGGGCCTAAAATAGTAATAGGCTAAGCAACATGACAAGTGAAGAACTCGTTGAAGGAAAGATATTTTGTAAACTAATTTACTATGAAACTCAAAAACAGTAAATAACACACACACTCATTGTTTATGGTATAATAAGTAAGGACTGTAAAAAAATGCATATCATGTCATACAGTAGTATAGACCTACTGCAAGAGATTAAAAATACCCCCGCCGCAGCAAACCTGCAGACTAAGCGAATTTCCATTTGCCTAATTGGATCTAGACTAAAATGCCTCCTTAAATATATCACATTTATTCCCTATTTAAATAGAATTAGTTTAAAGAGTACTTAGGTTTGCTGCAACAGGGAGGGTAAAAAGTGTTTTTTATTGTGAAATGTTAATAGTTTAGTAAGAAATTAATGTATTATTCAAATTCGATCAAAATATGTTCATAAACAAGCAAACTACAACAGTTGATTTATTCTCCATAAGAATAACATGGGAATTTTAAATTTACAATTTTTTTGAATTTTCTCGGTAACTATTAGGCGCACAATAACGCTGCAATATACTAAATTATTCGCTTTTTTAAGCTCTACAAAATGGTTTCGAAAGAAATTGTGAAACTTTGTGTTTTTAGGGTCAAAAATGGGAAAACCCCATTTTTACCCCATAAAACCCCCCATAAACCACCGTTCCCATAGTCCGATCATGCTGGTTCGCGAACTCGTTCGAATAAATGTAGGTTCACACGTTTGTACCGAATTTCATCAAAATCGGATAATTTTTGCTCGAGTTATCGTGCTGACGGACACACACACACATATATAGGCTATATATATATATATATATTCATTCATTGATTCATATATATATATATGAATTTGAACGGATGGTGTTTTTGGCCTCTAGGGACCTCAAAACAAAAAAGTAAATTAGTTTCCGGGTCCAGGTCTTACCATGAGTACTACGGTAATAGCTTATTCCCTATATGGGAAATTCGTTAAAAATCCTAAAACAATTGATTTTGATAGCTAATAAATGAAAAGAATAAAAAAATCATAAAATCAAGTCAAACAATATCACAATAAATTAGGTACCGTACCCGAAAAGTAACTCTTAACTAATGTATATAGAAGATTAAAATTGTATCAAATCAAGAGATAAGAAAGTTAAATTCTAACTTCGCAACTTAAGCAGAGCCACTAGTGCCCTTAGCAACTAGCAACACAGGTCAACTAGTGCCCTTAGCAACTAGCAACACAGGTCAATGTTTTTTGAAAGAGCAGGGTCTTTTTCTCGGAAGGAAGGGTAGTAGTATGTAAACAAGGTCATAGACCCTCCCCCTCCCCTCCCCTCTTACACCACCCGGTTGCTTCAATTGCTGACAAAATGCTAGTGACGAGACAAGGAAGTAGGGACAACAAATATATTTCTTTATTCAAAAACATAAAACTGTTATAGATCATTTTGAAAGAAATTAATTCACTGTAATTTGTGAGTTATAATATTGTATTGGATCTTAGAAATATCTTTTTTTCTAACTTAAGAAAAAAATAGTTTTACTGACGGTAACTTACATCAAATTATAAAACATTTAGGCCTAACCTCTTTGTTGACTTACTTGCTGATGCCGAACCAGACGATCACTAGTGTTGTTAGTTGTTACTGAATGACAAAAAGGACTGTAAGAAAATAAAAGAACAAGATACAGATCTGTACACTAGAACAGATATTTCTTTTGTTTATAATTTTTTTATGTAAAATACTGAAATATATTTTGTACTAGGTACGTAATAAACAATAAATAATTAAACTGTTACCTCTGGATAAATAGTCTTTCTTTTGACTTTGTTTTCTTTGCACTGTTTGTTGCGTCACAGCTTTTGTCTTGTCAGTAGACGACTGGACTGGCTCTGGCTAGTGGCAGTTAAACATTTTAATTCCCCTGTAATCGGGGACCCGCAGACCTCTAAGTTAAACACAAATCATGAAATTGACCGTAAAATAATATAAACAAAATTTCGACGGCACTAGCGATCAGTGTCGCCGAACATGAACTATACACGAAAAACGAGCTTAAAATTTTACAATGGGGTGAGAAGTCTACTTCTGTTGGTTAGTCTAAGGTTCAACCGGCTTACTTGGAAAATAAAACAACCGTGTAACACCTTATGTTTGCTTTAAATAAAGTTTTACTTTTAAAAAATGAGTAGCATAAATCTTTGTTAAAAGTAGAACTATTGGTGCCATTTTTTCTCACAGCATCCATACTAACTTGAGCTTACTTCAAATTTAGCTATATTTCAAAATCTGAGATATTTTCTTCTTTTCCTTAACTCGTCTAAAATAACATACCTTTTCCTAATGCACATTTTTGGACTTGGTTTTGGTGTTGGTATGGCGCAAGTAGATTCCTAACATAAAATGAGGATGAGGTTATGGTTGAGAAAATAAGGTTTAAAAAAATAGACAACAAACTTAATTTTCATTTTATGGAGGTTGGGATTTTGTTATTTCTTGATTTGCAGCAGGGAAACTGTTCTATAATACAATGGAACAGTTTATAACCTTCATGGTCGGCTGATTGAAATGGCAGCAGAAGCTTGTGTATGTGTAGTGTGTGGCAACACTGAATGCGTGAACTTTATTATGCAGCTGTCAGCTGGAGTGGAGCTGCGCAGCTGCCGCGCCCGTGTTGGTTCGATGTCGATGTCAATTGTATTGCGTAATCTTGACAGTAAACTCGTAGTAGGACTTAATTTTTATTTAATTTACTTTTTATAACTATGACACAATATAAATAATGATTTAATTTGGAATAATATTTGATTACAACCTACTTTTAAATGGTAGGTCGTCATTCAAATATTCGATTCGAACTTCGAACCTTTTTAGAAGTTTTCGAAGTTCGAATATTCGCACACCCCTAGTTTTTATTCATAGGCCTAGTTAACAGTTTAAATAGTTAATACATATCCCCCAATTTTCAAAAATTGCTTAAGCCTCAATCTCATCCAAAAAGCTATATAATAGCCTTGAGTATAGATAGATATATACATTCCATAGCCAAGTTTTTGACAGGTTTGAAATTTAAATGGGCACAGTTGGATTGAGTCCCCTACAGAGTGTGCTGATGTCAGTCGCTGATTTCTGTACAATCTGTTTAATTTTTTAATCAAGTCAAACTGATAAGACAACTTATTGTAAGCTAAGGCATCTTTTATGTTACATAAACTATTTGAGTAACAAAAACTGAGACAGAAAATAGAAGTTTAGATTTCAGTGCATTTAGTGTGAGTGGCTCATTCAACTTTGTTCTTAGATACTAAAAAATAGGTCATGGTTGTGACCATTCAACAAGTCAATGGTCATAGTGTATGAAATGTTGATATTTTACAAAGCAGATTTCATGTGTACTATGACAATGTAACTTGTGTTATAGACTGCTCTGGCCAAGGCAGTGCTAGAGTTGCAGCTGACCAAGCTTGGTCTGATCACACCAGAGGGTAGTCTGCCCCACACACTCAGAGTCTCCTTCCAACTACTGTGGGCCAACAACGGAGACACCATCAGCAAACAGTATGCTGGGACCAACGCACTCAAGGTAAGCAGGTCAGGTCAAGCCGAATAAAACTTTAAAATTTTCAATCACAGAAAGCGTCGACAAAGATGCAATTAAGAATTGACAAATTCGCTGCAATATGCCCTGTCCACAGGATTTGTTCTTGATTTTGATGTGACCACGGAAGACGTTCTCGAATTAGTAGTGACCATGGAAGACGTTCACGACTTCACCGTGACCATGTAACTTTTGCAATTTAACTGAGATTGCAAGATACAGGACCGGTATGTTCATGATTACAGAATATGTTCACAATGGAGTCATATTCTTTCTTGATCGCAGCAAATTCCTGGACATCTCCCGCAGTTCAATTCAAATTCTCTTTATTCATTTACAGTACAAGCTAGACAATTAATAGTGTCAAATAAATATAAAAATGTATCTTAACTTACTTATTGCAAAAGAATTATTATTTTTAATGAAATGAAATCTTTTTATTAGAATTTACGTTACATTTCTTGCATTCCCATATTCATGTAACGGATACAAAGACAATGAAAAGATATATCCTTAAGTTTTTTTTTGCATTTTAATTATTTTTCTCTAATATAATTTTAGGTACCTAAACTAAATCTAAATACACATTTGATGTCAATAAAACTACTTTTCTTCTCAAAAATCTTTAATTTATGTTGTTCAACTTGACTAGTATACCTTAATTTATAGTGTTGATAATTTATAGTATCAAATGTTTGTTCTATTAGTTTGGAGGTAAATTTTTTTATTTGTAATTTTGTTTCATAAATGTACAAGTCATAGACTGTCATAACACCTAATTAAGAAAAAAACTGGTTTCACTGTTTTGTGATTATCTTAAATGTTGAAGATAATTTGGAATAATTTTTTGTTGATGAAGAATTTTGTATATGTTTTTCTTAGTAGTTTCTCCATAAATTGCTATACCATAGATAGGACATATCAGAATTTATTAACACGTTCGCTACTGAGCGTCGCATATATGCGATGCCGCGGTTATTGCCACAGACCGAGGTATACATTTGAATCTTACACTTAGACCGGCTGTCACTTGGAAAACAGTACACACAGATCATGGGCGAAAACTTGTAAAACAGTGATCATTTACATTGTAATACGCTACAATCATGTTTGTTAATAATTTTTTCTTGTTTTTTCGTATTTTTTATATCCTTTTGTAATGTCGCATATTTGCGACGCCCGGCCTACAGTAAAGACAATAGTGAAAACTATCATAGTTATCTTGAAATAGACCAAACGTCGGATATATGCGACAGGTAATTTTTGTTTGTGTTTGAGGTAAAAGTAAAGTTAAAAAAAACAGATTATTCAAGAACAGTTTATAACTTAACAAATATAAAAGCTACATAGGATAATGCAGCATTCATACTGCATACATACATACAGTGATGCAGAAAAGTAAAGACCAGTTTTTCCAACTATCATATGACGTCACCAATCATCATATCCACAGACCAAGCAACGCAGTTGTGCGTCAGACATCTCTGTAGACCACTGCAGGGAATTCAGTGCCTTCAAATAGACAGTTACAAAGATAAGCATTTTAATAACATTAGAACCCCGACGCAAATATGCGACGCCAGTCTATTTTAATGTGACTAGCCGTCGCATATATGCGACGGCAGTCTATGGGTGGAAACCGGCCGTCGCATATGTGCGTCACTGGTCCATGTGAATGAAAAATTTCGTACTATTGCAGTTGCAAACGTGTTAATGCAAAATAGATTGTTATTATTTAAGTATCAATATCACACACAATTGACATTAGTCGCAGGGCGTAGCGACCTTTTGATGTTACCAGTTACATATTCAATATGCTTATCCCAATTTAAGTTTTGATCCAATATCAATCCGAGATATTTTGTGTGCTCTACTTGACTCAAGTTTGTTTGTATGATCAATGTAATTATTCGGGGTCAATTTAGATCTTGATTGTTTTGTAGAGAATGATATAAATTTTAATTTTCTATAATAATTTATAAGAGATTGTTGCTACTTGAGAATTCATTAACAGATGGAAGAAAAAAAAATTCAATTTAACTTCCTCTTGGGAATTGTCTGTAACTGTTATGTTGGTATCATCAGCATAAAGCAGGGTGTCTAGTAGTCGGGAAAATCGGGAAAGTCGGGAATTAGTATTGAATTGCAAAATGGTCTTGAAAAGTCGGGATTTAGTCTTAAATTTGATTTCAAAGTCGGGAATTTTCATGATTTTGCCTCGATCGTCGTCTTGCGTTTACTTAACCGCGAAAGCCAATGATGATGATGTCTACACGGCCTCGGGAAATGTTCACGATTTTGCCGCGACAGTGGACGACGACGATGACGTTTCCGTGACCACGAGAGTCGACGATGACGTTTCCGTGACCGCGGGAGACGACGATGACGTTTCTGTGGCCGTGGGAGTCAATGATGATGTCTACACGGCCGCAAGGAATTTTAATTATTTTGTCGCTATCACGGACGACGGTGATGACGTTTCCGTGACCGCGGGAGATGACGATGACGTTTCCGTGACCACAGGAGACGACGATGATGTCTACACGGGCGCAGGAATTGTTCATGATTTTGCCGTGATCGTGGACGACGACGATGACGTTTCCGTGACCACGGAAGATGACGGTGATGTCTATAAAGCCGCAGGAAATGTTCATGATTTGGCCGCGATCGCGGACGACGACGATGACGTTTCCGTGACCGCGGGATACGACGATGATGTCTACATGGGCGCGGGAATTGTTCATGATTTTGCCGTGATCGTGGACGACGACGATGACGTTTCCGTGACCGCGGGATACGACGATGATATCTGCTTGGCCGCGGGAATTGTTCACGATTTTGTCGCGATCTCGGACGACGACTATTACGTTTCCGTGACCGCGGGAGATGACGATGACGTTTCCGTGACCGCGGGAGACGACGATGATGTCTACACGGCCGCGGGAAATGTTTATGGTTTTGCCGTGATCGCGGACGATGACGATGACGTTTCCGTGACCGCGGTAGATGACGATGACGTTTCCGTGACCGCGGTAGATGACGATGACGTTTCCGTGACCGCGGGAGACGACGATGATATCTGCCCGGCCGCGGGAAATGTTCTTGATTTTGTCGTGACCGCGGGAAATATTCATGATTTTGCCGTGATCGCGGACGACGACGATCACGTTTCTGTAACCGCTGCAGTCAATGATGATGTCTAAACGTATGGTATGCGGAAGATTTCATGATAAAAAAAAAACTTTGCTAGTTAGAATTATTCTTACTAGCAAAGTTTGGTTTTTACAATAGTTTTTACAATAGTTTGGCAATACAAAATTATTTTGTATTGCTGCATTATTTCTTTACTTGAAAACACCACATTATCATAATACTACTTTATGACAAAGATAGGGGTTGGTGTAGTATTATTTAGAAAATTTGGTTAAGCTATAAAAATTGGTATCGGTATCAAGAATCGAGAATCGATACATTTTGGTATCAACACCCACTAATTGTTGAAAAACTAGTCTTGAAAAATTTGGAATTAGTATTAAAAAGTCTGGAATTAGTCTTGAATTTTATAATGGAAATAAACTAGACACCCTGATAAAGACACACTGAACCTTCTCCATCGACAGCTTGTGGGAGCCCACTCATATAACAAAGAAATAAAAGGGACCCCAAAATAGGTCCCTGGGGGACACCATATTTCATATTTTTGTACTCAGAGTAAACATTTTGAGTATAGGAGTATTTACCGTTTGGATGGCTGAAATTATGCTGTATTAGGACGCATTATTGCCTGCCTTGTAAGTATTAACCGAACCACTTAAGCTCCTCATTATCTATAATATTAAAACGTGACAGGGTTTTTTTATTTCACGATTCTGAATCAACCACTAAACGGATTTTCATGATTTTTGTGTTGAAAGAAAGATAATTTTGAGAACTAGCGAATTTGGAAGCCATAATTTTAGTTTAGGGTTACAGTTTTTTGATAGTTAAGTTTTAAATTTTAAAAAGTCTAGCAGCCGACGCTAACATTTTACTCTAGCTTTTGGTATAATTCCATTTGCTTAACTTAACAGCTGTAAACATTCAGAGTTTTCGACACAAATTCAGCATTTGGATGAAAATGAAATGACATACGTAGGGTTGACTTATTTATACTATGTGTAATGCTATAATCATTGATACGTTCATTTATTCGGTAAGAGGATGAGAGATAATTTAAATATACATAGTAAAATACTAGGTGTTTTAATTTATTTTTTTGAACAGCCTATAAAATCTTTAGTTTGTTTTAGTGCAATATAATTTGTTATAACTAACAGCTGGAATATATGAACATAAAAAATATAAAAATATTAATTTAATCTGGAATATAAAAAATATTCTAAGAACTATGAGGTTAGTTTATTTACTCTGTGATTTTGTCATTGATTATAGGAATTAAGTAAGATTCTATAACCATTGCTGTATACGAATTGAAGCTCACAAGTGCTTATGAAAATAGTTTTACTACTCAAATTTTTGAGGAAAGGTTGGGAAAGTAAGAACGATTACAAGTTTTAATTAATCTTGGCAGCTTTTTCTTTGCAATAAATTTTGAACTGCTTGAACTAAGCTTGAATTAGGAATAGACAATATATTGATATAACTATATACCGTTTTAATGGACTGCTCGATTCCCGATTTTTTTTTTTTAATTTTTTCCCCTGCTTCTTGAATGGTTGGTCATGCTATGCAATGACAATAACAATAACAACTGAGGTTCAACGATGAACGATAAATATGGTAACTTTTCCCATGAGCGTGTTGTGGTTGCTCTTGACTATGACTTGAAAAATAACATAACAAGTGGTGGCATTTGACATGCATCTTTATGGTAACTCTTGACGTTAAACTATGAAGAGAAAAAAACTTAACAATTGGTAACCTTCCCATGAGCGTGTTGTAGTGACTCTTGACTATGACTTAGAAAAATAACAACGCAACAACTG